GTGTGTGTGTGTGTGAGAGAGAGGGTGTGAGGGTGTGTGGGCGTGTCTGTATGTGTGTGTATGTGCGTCTGTGTGTGTATATGTATGTGTGCATCTGTGTGTATGTGTATGTGTGTGTGTGTGCGTGCGTTTGTGTATGTATGCGCACGCATGTGTATGTATGTGCGTGTGTGTGCATGCGCACGTGTGTGTGCGAGACAGCGTGTGTGTATGTGTATGTGTACGTGCGTCTGTGTGTAAGTATGTGTGTGTGTATGTGTGCGCGCGTGTGTGTGTCTGAGAGAAAGTGAGAGGGTGGATGTGTGTGTGTGTGTATGAGTGTGTGTGTATGTGTCTGTTTGAGAGAATGTGAGAGAGTGTGTGTGTGGGTGTGTGTGCGCGCGCGCGCGCACGTGTGTGGGTGAGAGTGCATGTGCGCGCACGCGTGTGCGTACGTGCTTGTGTGCGTGGGCATGTGTGCACGTGCATATGCATGCCTGTACTGGAAATCAAGGAGGAGCTCAGCTTTAGGAGTTTCTTACCATCCTCCAACGCTTCGTCTGCGATGTGCTCCGATGGTCCCAAGGCCAGTTTTGCCAGATCCACATCATTGGCCTTGAGGAAGTCAGTCAGCACCTGATCCATACTCTGCATCTCTAAGCCAGGACGTTCATCTGTACCTATCTCACCGGTTCCACTGTCCTGCGATATAACGTCACTGTCCTTGGCTGGGAATAGAGAAAGTCCTCATTGTGGGAGAGTTCAGGTAAATTCATACAATGTTATATGTTAGAGAAGACACTGGAGAAACACCTCCTCCTGTCTCTCATGGCTCTGGTTCTAGGCTATGGGGTTGTGAAGGAAAGGAGGTCGCGAAGGAAAGGGGTTAGTGCTGCGATGGTGCCTCAGAGCTCAGGTCATTTTCCCACCCTCCAGAACTCAACCCAACATCCGCCCTGAACCCAAACAATTCAACTCTTCCAACCCAACACCTCCGCCCCCGAACCCTTCATCCCCCGGCCCCCGAACTCTCCACTCCCCCCCCGTACCCTCCACCCCCGTACCTCCCACTCCCCTGAATCCTCCCCCCCCGAACCCACCTCCCACAAGCCCTCTGCTCCCCTCTACTCTCCGCCCCCCACCGAACCTGCTGCCTTGTACTCTCCGCACCCCCCAAACCCTCCACCCCTGGCCCCAAACCCTCCGCCCCCGAACTCTCTGCCTCCTCGTACCATCCGGCCCCCCAGCCCCAAACCCTCCATGCTCAACCGGATGTACCCAGCCTGAGCAAATCCCTCCATCTCAAAATAACTCCCTCAGCATCAAACCACTGCCTTCACACTCACTCCACTTCAAATCCAACTCCTCAGCATCAACACAGTAACAATTGTCCCACCCATCTCCAGCCCTCCATAGCCATAGCCCACCTTCATCACAACACACCCCCTCTCCCCCCGACCTCAACCTAGCCCACTGGCTTAAAACCTCTGTTCATCCTCGCCGACCTCAACCTTTCCCTGACTTCAACCCAAACTCTCCAACGCAACCTCCAATTAAAGACCCAAGACACTACCCTTACTTGTAACCCAGTTTCTCACAACCCAAACCCAAAACCAACACCCCCCACCCAAAAACACAACCCAATGCAACATCAGAAACCACCCCCACTCCCGTCCAATCACACCCCAGTTGAACCGAATCCAAATCCCAAGAAAGCCAATGGGCTGTCACTCCTGCCTCTTACCCACTGCCCAGAATGAGCCGAACCCATCGCCTCAACCACCTCAGTCCCTCCCGATCCAACCTCACCACTCAGATCAGGTCCGGCACCTCGACATGTCCTTTTGCTTCAAAGTGAACCCTGACCTGCCCAACACCATCCCCCCCCTCCCCCCTCCCGCCCCCCACCCCAAATCCCACCCTCCCACACCACAGCACAAGGTAGGCGCTGACCCCTTACCACTGAACTCGGAGTTGATTCTGTCGCGAGTTGAGAAACTGCTGTCGGAGCTGAGCATGGGCTCTCTGTACGCCATGCTGCGAGGGAAAGGACAGGGAAAGAAGTGAGAGAGATAGTAGGAACTGCAGATGCTGGAGAATCTGAGATAACACGGTGTAGAGCTGGATGAACACAGCAGGCCAAGCAGCATCAGAGGAGCAGGAAGGCTGACGTTTCGGGCCTAGACCCGGAAGTGAGACCTGACTGACTCACAGCAGGCTGATGCAGCAAGCTGGAAGTGGCCATTCTGTCCCTCAAATCTCGTATGCAGAGAGGGAAAAACAAATAGAGAAAGCCATTCAGCCCCTTGAGCCTGTTACACAGGAACAGGGGGTGGCCATTCAGCCCCGAGTCTGCTACATAACAAGAAGCGAGGCCCTTCAGCCCCTTAAGCCTGTTACACAGAACATGAGGGGTCACCAAGCCCCTCGGACCTGTTCCCCAGGGGGAAACGATGAGACCATCCAGCCCCTCCAGCCCTTTACACAGGAATGGGAAGAGCCTGTGCGTCCCAGTGTGCCTGCGCCAAGTCTTTGGCAGAGCCGTCAAATTTGCCCCGCTGGCCTGCTCCTCCACCCCGAGCCGTGTCAGAACGTTGCTCATCGACACCATTTGAGGCTACGGCGGAATCTGCACCCGCTACCGCTCGCGAGAGAACGGTCCCCCAGCACCGCATCTTGTCACAGGTAGTAAAACTTCGCAAAGCTGCCTCGGTGCTAAATCCGTGCCCCCTTAAGTGCCTGGCATTCCTCAAACCTTCATCCTCTCCTCCCCCTCCTCCAGCCCCACCCCACCCCCTGCTGCAGCCTCTCTCTCTCTTTCTGTCCCACCCACCCCCTGTCTGATCACGTTCACCGTTTTCTGTTGGCCATTATGGGAACTTTCCATCTCCCATAGACAGCAAGGTAAAGAATCATTTCAATAGCTGGATGCACGGAGATACTAAATGCGGCCTGTCCCGACTGGGGCTAAAATGAAATATCACCTCGTTTTGGCCCACCTCCTCGACTCTGAACATCGCTGCCACCTTGTGAATTTCGCACCCCCCCAACCTCGCCCCCAGCCGCAGCCAAGCCAAGGCAGTACAGAGTTCCGAGCCCCCACCTCCAGCCCTCCCCAACACCCCAGACCAGCTCCCGCGTCAGCTGGGTGGGCGATACTCACGTAGGGCTGAGGGGTAGGTTGACAGAGGGTGGCACCAGGCTGTTCCGAGGAGCCATGGAGGGTTTCTGTTGATTGAGGGCTTCCTGGGTGCTCAGAATCCACTCGCACCAGCTGCGGGTAGCACGGGGACAAGAGCCGGGAGGGTTAGGTCACCAACGCAAACACCCAGATCAACCCCCAGCAAAGCTAATCAACTGGTCCGTCGCTGATCCCTTCGGGGCTATTTCCCCAGCACTCAGTCCAAACACTAACGCCAATATTAGTTGGTGGGGGGGGGGGCACCACCTGGAATAGCTGAAAACCTGATGGCAGGATGGGACAGTGCTTAGCAGCGCCAGGGACCCCGGTTCGATCCCACCCTCGGGCGACTGTCTGTGCGTGGTTTGCACATTCTCCCCGTGTCTGCGTGCATTTCCTCCCACAGTCCAGGGATGTGCAGGTTAGGGTGGGTTGGCCGTGTGAAATTGCCACGTAGTGCCCAGGGATGTGCAGGTTCGGGCGGGTTGGCCAGGTTCAATTATGCATAGTGCTCAGGGATGCGCGGGTTGGCCAAGGGAAATGGAGGGTCACAGTGCAGGAGGCGGGGGTGGGACTGCGTGTGGGATGCCCGTCGGAGGGTCAGCGCCGGCTCGACGGGCCGAACGGCACTCTTTCCGCACCGGAGGGATGCTATGAAGCAAAGCATCGTAATTATCCCGCGCTGGCAAGCGAAACAGCTGGTAAATAACTTTCAGTGCGAAATATTGCGGACGCCAGAGATTTGAGACCAGCGTTGGGAAGCAGCAATGTTCACCTCTGAGCCAGTGTACCCCCTTTTTATTAAAACATGTGCGTTTTGGTTTTAAACGAGGTGGAAAAATAGAAAAGATTCCAAAGAGGTGTACGTGGCATTTTCTGTGCAACCTGAGGGAGGGAGCTGATTAGAAACCGAAGGGTAATTTCTTTTTTGTTTTAGAAAACGATGAAAAGAAACACGGAGAACTTATGTGGGTGATGCATTATTTTGCATTAAAATAACCACAAGCTTAAAAGCTGGCCAGAGCCAATGGTTAGTGTATGGCCAAGTGGGAAGTGCTGTTTCTCAGCTGGCCTTCCCTTGGACACCCGAGCTGTGATTGGCAATCAGTCCACGCAGCTCCAAGTGGTTTGCTATTTGACCAGGCGATGCTTCGTCAAAGCCAGGCCCACTATCCCGTCTCTCGTTTCCCACATGCCCTCCAACTCCTGTTGTTATCCAAGCTGCGGGAACTGACGCCGCACCCTCACTTTTAGCCCGAGCCGAGCCCCCTGTCCTGTCCCCCACACCCCCAACCCCGGTGGGATACGCTGACAACCCCGACCACCATCCCCTCCTCCGCCCGGTTTGACCTGCCACTCACTTCCTCCTCTCGGAGACCGTCTGTGCCACTAGCTCGTAAATTTGTGCGCCCGTGTTGGTCTGGAAAAGGACGAAGAACGCCTTGCGGTCTGCAACACAAAGAGGAGCGTTTGCAAAGGTAGGGGGGTTTACAGGCATTAATTACAAGCTGTCTTACAGGCAAGAAAACCACATACACATACATCAGGCAGAAGGTAAGGCAAGGCCCATGTGTATAAGTACACAGCCAGATACCCATCCTGACAAAGCAATAGACAGGCAAACGTGTACGCAGGCAACCAGAGTGAAAGACAAACATAAACACACACACACACAATGACAGACAGACACACACTCACACACACACACACACACAATGACAGACAGACACACACTCACACACACACACACACAATGACAGACAGACACACACACACTCACACACACAATGACAGACACACACACACACACAATGACAGACACACACACACACACACACACACACACAATGACAGACTGACACACAGACACACACACAATGACACACAGACACAGACACACACACACACACACACACACACACACACACACAATGACACACAGACACACACAATGACACACACACACACTGACAGACACACACACACTGACAGACACACACAATGACAGACACACACAATGACAGACACACACAATGACAGACACACACACACACACATAACTGTGCACACAACTCACAGATAGTGACACAAGCACAAAGTTACACAAATGTGAAACAGATATACATGCAGAGACAGGGGTACAAACAGTCAGAATGAGGGCCACATATGAGACACACAGGTGTGTACACACAAAAATAAGACAGGATCACACAGGTGAGGCGGCGGGGAAGAGACAGAGAGACACACACACGCACCCTCACAAACACAGACACAAATATTGAACAAACGGACAGAATAACTTTCAGGTTTGTAAATCCTTTCACACGGTGAAATGTACAAAGGTGGACGTTCTCGCTCACACGGCCCGTTTCGCAGCGACGACACTTTCCTGCCAGTCAAGGGACACGGCCGTTTCGCAGTCGAGTCACACGACCCAGAGGCGTGGGTTCGGCCTCAGCAGAATTCAGATTCAACAAACGTGCGATGGAAAGAGCTTGCAGGCTGGCCCAAACGCAAACAGCCCACACGCACAGCAAGCTCCCACGCACAGCAAGCTGGCTGTCACCGAGAGATTAAAGTCAGCAAGGGGTAATTGATAGCGAGCGAGCCTGGGCAAAGCCCACCTTGCGGGAAGGAGGGAGAACCGATCACTGGCACCCCTACGCCACCCGTGCCCCGGTAGCCACCGTCACGGCCCTACCTGTGGCAACATCCCGAGCCAGCAGGCTGCCAAGTTTGATGATGGGGCATAGCATCTGCTTCCCGTCTGGACCCCCCACTGCGTTCTTGCTGTGGCATTTTAGCACCATCTTGTCATCCACTTTCTGCATCAGGACCAGGATGTCATCCAGCAACAACACATGGACATCTGAGATGGATGGCCAGGACAGCGGGGTGGAGGGGGAGAGAGAGAGAGAGAGAGTTAGAGGAAAAGGAGACACGCTAAAGTCAGGAGAAGGAACATGAAGACAGAAAAGCGGGCAGGGATGAGAGAGAGTCAGAGGGAGTGGGAGTTTCAGAGTGAGAGAGAGTTAGATAGAGGAAAACGAGACACGCTAAAGTCAGGAGAAGCAACATGAAGAGTGAAAAGTGGGCAGGGATGAGAGACAGTCAGAGGGAGTGGGAGTTTCAGAGAGAGAGAGGGAGGTTGGGGTTGTGGGAGGGGTGGGCGTTAGAGAGGATGGGAGGGTCAGAGAGGGTGAGGGAGAGGGGAGGTACCAGCAGTTGGTGTGGGGTACAGTGTGCCTGCGTTAGAGAGGATTGCAGGGTCAGAGAGACGGGCGCACAAGGAGATGGCAGGGGAGAGGGAGAGCGCAAGGGGACAGGCCGTGAGACAGAGCGCGAGAGCGTGACTGTGAGAGCGCAAGAGAACACGACAGTGAGAGACAGAGAGTGTAAGCAGGAGAGTGCTAGAGAGCGAGAGAATGTGAAGTGTGAGAGAGAGGGAGAATGAGTGATTGAGCAAGTTAACGAGTGTATGTGTTAGAGATGCTGGGAGTGGGACAGAGTAGGTGAAGGAGAGATGACTAGCAAGATACAGGGGGTGGGGAATGTCAGAGAAGGACAGGGTGTGAGGGTGAATAAAGGATAAGGAGAAGGACTGAGGCAGAGAAAGTGCCAGGGGGCCGTGTGAGCGAGGGTTTGTAGCAGGAGAGTGCTTAAAAAAAGTTTAAAGGGCGTGTAAGGGTGCCACAAGACAGACCATAAGTGTGGAATGGTGAGAGTGAGTGTGTCAGAGTGGAAGCGAGAGGGGTATGGCATAGATAGAACCTGAAAGAGGGAAGGACAAGATGAGGTGGAAGTGTGTGTTGGGGGGAAGGAAAGAGAGGGAGCTGACAGGGAGAAGCAGGGCAGGGATGAGGAGACTCGGGGAAGCAGAGTGTTTGGTCCGGGGCAGTGGGGGTGGGGGAGGTGGTGGGGGTGGGGGGAGGTGGGGGAGAGAGGAAGGGGGAGAGAGGGGATGAGAGGCGGGTAGAGAGAGAGAGAGATGGACAGTGAGACAGAAGACAGAGTTGTCAAAGAGAGGGGGAATGACAAGGAGCATGGAAGCAAGAAGACAGCGATGTGGGAGGAGGAAGAGTGTGTGGGTCGGGAAGGACAGGCTGTATCAGAGGCGAGAAGTGAGAGAGAAAGGGATAGCTACAGGCACAAAGCCAAAAGCCCCACAGAGAGACACAAGAACATAATCGGAGCCAGGAATAGACCATCTGGCCCTTTGGGCCTGCCCCCCCAAAGAACAAAGAACAAAGAAAATTACAGCACAGGAACAGGCCCTTCGGCCCTCCAAGCCTGCACCGATCCAGATCCTCTATCTAAACCTGTTGCCTATTTTCCAAGGATCTGTATCCCTCTGCTCCCTGCCCATTCATGTATCTGTCTAGATACATCTTAAATGACGCTATCGTGCCCGCCTCTACCACCTCCACTGGCAACGCGTTCCAGGCACCCACCACCCTCTGCTTAAAGAACTTTCCACGCATATCTCCCTTAAACTTTTCTCTATTCAATAAGATCATGGCTGATCTTTTTGTGGAATCAGCTTCACTTACGCTCCCATTCACCATAACCTCAACTCATTTACTGTTCAAAAATCTACTTTTGCCTTAAAAACATTCAACGAGGAAGCCTCAGCTACTTCACTGGGCAGGGAATTCCACAGATTCACAACCCTTTGGGTGAAGAAGTTCCTCCTCAGCTCAGTCCCAAATCTGATCCCCCTTATTTTGAGGCTATGCCCCCTAATTCTAGTTTCATTCACCAGTGGAAACAACCTCCCTGCTTCTATCTTATCTATTCCCTTCATAACGTTATGTGTTTCTATAAAACTGACCCCCCCTCATTTGTCTAAATTCCAACGAGTACAGTCCCAGTCTATTTGATCTCACCTCATAAGCCAACCCTCTCAATCGGAACCTCCATCTACACCCCCTCCAGTGCCTGTGCATCCTTTCTCAATACATACAAAAATTCTCCAGGTTAAGGGAGAGGCTCAAATCACTTTTAACAAGGTTGTAGAGTTGTGCTTTAACCGACACAAGAATTCTTGCTAGGTTAGCCACAAGCTCGGGGGAGGCAATGGCCTAGTGGTATTATCGCTGGATTGTTAATTCAGAGACCCAGATAACATTCTGGGAACCTGGGTTCAAATCCTGCCATGGCAGATGGTACAATTTGAATTCAATAAATATCTGGAATTAAGAGTCTAATGATGACCATGAATCCATGGTTGATTTTGAAAAAACTCATCTGGTTCACTAATGCCCTTTAGGGAAGGAAACTGCCATCCTTACCTGGTCTGGCCCACATGTGACTCCAGACCCACAGCAATGTGGTTGACTCTTAACTGCCCTCTAGGCAATTAGGGATGGGAAATAAATGCTGCCTAGCCAGCAATGCCCTCATCCCGTGAATGAATCAACAAAAAGCAAGATCTCTCAAGTCCCTGCAATGAGGGCAAATCTCAATTTGGAACTGTCTTTGGTGGAAAGTCCCTGTAATCGAGAGCCTCTGCAACCTCGAGTCCTCGCCTGAAAATCAGACCCTGCTCAGTTCATCCCCTTTGAACGGGGAGGTTCCTCCTCCCTCCCTCTCTCCCCAGCCTGAGTTAGTGTGCTCTCACTCACCAACTGCTTTCTCCTTGGTCACCTTCCAGATCAGAGGTCCCTCGTGTACCATCCGACGCTGGGTCAGGTCGATGTTCTAACCGTGAGACAAACACAGGTTCTGATTTACTGAATGCCATCAGCTAAATGCCAGGCCATTCCGCACCCACCACCACCCAGGGCGAAGATCGCTATAAATTGGGAACCTCAAACCAGCCTTGGCAACTGCATCATGCAAACCAGAGAGACATGCTGCGGGAAAGAGCGATGGGGAACTGGGATTGGTTTGGGGACTGATACAGGGCTATGGGGA